GGCTCGACCGGGTCTACCTGGGAAACACCTGAGGGAGCAGGAGCCTGGGGAGGCAAGGGGTCTACCAAGGCAGCACCTGGCGTGAGGAAGAGCGGCGGAGGGGGGAGCGGGGCAGTGCGGTAGGGGAAGAGACGGTAGAAGGGGACCGACTCGTCAAATGTGACGTCCTGGGAAAACAGAACATGGCGCGCGGTGGGGTGGTAGAACTGCTAACCATGCGCGTCAGGGGGGAAACCAAGGAAGACGCAGGGACCAGTACGGGGGGACAACTTGTATGCAGACAAGTCGCGGACAAAAGCCCAAGTTCCCGAGACACGAAACGCGGGCTCATCGCCAACCTTCCCCGTCCACCGCAGAGTAGGGGAGGTCTTCGGGAATGAGACCCGGGGCTGATGGTTGATCTCATGCGCCGCGTACTGAACCGCGAACGGCCACAGAAAATGGGGAGCAGCCTCATGGATCATGGACGTATGAGCGACGTCCATGACCATGCCAATGCGGCGCTCAGCAATCCCATTTTGCTGTGGAGAGGCCGGAAGCGTGAACGTCTGGCGGATGCCCAGTGCACGACACGAGGCTAGCAGAAGGTCAAAGGAAAACTCACCTCCTCTGTCGGAGTGCAGACGCAGGACAGGAAATCCGAGCCGAAACTCTCTCTGAGCTTGAGACGAGCTGCGCGGATCCAGTCGATCAACACCTCCGTGACCTCACCCTTGCTGCGCAAGGGGAAGACTGTGGTGTAACGCGAGTAGTCGTCAACCACCAGCAGGAAGTAACGCTCGTGACCCTGTCCACGGACGCGGGCTGGGCCTCACACGTCCATGTGAAGCGTCTGCAGCGGAGCCTCTGTCGGAGGAAACTCGGAGGAGTGAGGAGCGGCGCGCTGCCGCCCCTCGACGCAGGGAACGCAGGTGGGGGCAGGCCCTGGAGGAAGAGAAGGGAGGGACTGGGGGAGATCCGAGACCAGGAAACGAGAGGCCATGCCTCGGAGACGAGGCAGGGAGGGGTGACCAAGGCGGTGATGCCAGAAGAGAGTCTCGTGAGACAGGAGACGACACGAGCAGGGGGCAGACTCAGGACCAGACCTGGACGCTACAGCAAACACCTGACTCGACGCAGCTACCTGAGGAGACTCAGTAGTCAGTGTGTATAGGCTCGACCCCGGCTGACGGGTAAACCTGGCCAAGTGTCGGCCCGTCCGAGCACACGTACAGTGGGTCACACGCTGACGCGCAGGAGTGAACTGGTCAACCCCTCCATCTTGTAGGTCAGCACCACTCACCAAGTTCGTAGAGAACGAGGGGAGGTAAAGACCTGACAGGGAGCCAGAAGGGGCCGCCGGACACGGTAAGACAGTGGAGAAGTGGGCAAGGACAGGACCCCCAGAGGGGTCTGCCAGGGAGACTGCAACCGGCCGACTAAGCGGCGTGAGTGTGGTGCGGTCTCGAAAGAAGGAGCGGGAAGCACCCGAGTCAAGGGTGAAGGTGTGTAAAACCCAAGCCGACGTGGTACCTGAGAGAGCAGACTCACCAGCACCTAGAGGAGTAGACGCACTAGCACCTAGAGCAGCAGCTTCACCAGCACCTAGAGCAGCAGCCTCAATGCCCGGGTCAGGCGGAACACACAAGTAACAGTCACCCACATCACTAGTAGGCAATGCATACATGGAAGCGAGGATAGCATCATAGTCAAGAGCATAGATATCTACCCTCTGCCTAAGCAGCTCCACCCAGTCGGGGAGCTCAGCCGCGTCGCCAAATTCGGCACGCCAGGCGTCGCTCAGACGGGCGAAGCAGTGGAACTCTGCGTGACCAAACGTCCCGCAAGGCTGACCAGTCCGAGCACCAGTGCGAATGACGTACGGACAGCGAGCAGTACTCCGTGACCCTCCACGCTGAGCGTACCACTCAAGAAGCTGCTAGGGCGACAGAACCGCGCGCGGACTATGCTGCAGCTGCACCTGGCCACTACAAGCAGCTCCCGAACTACTCACGCCAGAACGACTCTCACTACGACCACCCCGACAACCCCAAGTAGCGTACCACTCACAAAGCTGCTGGGGCGTGACGGACTCATGCGGATGTCGCTGGAGTTGCATCTGGCCACCGCCTGGGGCAGCAGGAGCAGTGGTAGCCGTAGTGGCAGCAGTAGCAGCAAGAGCATTGCGGCCACCCCTACAACCCCAACTAGCGTACCACTCACGAAGCTGATGGGGGGCGAGGGACTCACGCGGACGGGGCTGGAGCTGCATCTGGCCACGCCAGGAGTAGTAGTAGCAGTAGAAAGAGTAGTAGTAGCAAGAGCAGCAGTAACAGCAGAGCTCACTAGTGGCAAGAAGGGCAGGAGTACGATAGTGGCAATGGTGAGGTCGCTACCACCGCAGGGCGAGGGCTCCGCGGCTGCTGCAGGGACTGCTGCTCGAGAGGCCAGGGGCGGCTGCTGCAAGGGCGGCTGCTCCAAGGGCCAGGGGCAGCTGCAGCAGCGGCGGCTGCTCCAGGGGCCAGGGTGCCGCGGCGGGCAGGGGCGGCGGCGGCTGACACGGCAGCGGCGGCGGCGACTGCTGGTGTCGGCGGCGGCGGCGGCTACTGCTGTCGGCGGCGGCGGCTGCTGCTGTCAGTGGTGGCGGCGGCTGCTGCGGCCGGGGCAGGGGCGGCGGCGGCGGACACGGCAGCGGCGGCAGCGGCTGCTGCCGTCGGCGGCGGCGGCAGCAGCTGCTGTCGGCGGCGGCAGTGACTGCTGCGGCCGGGGTAGGGGCGGCGGCGGCTGAGAAGGGGCGGCGGGGCCGCGACGGGCCGTGAGAGGTGCCGCGAAGGGGCCGTGAGGGGCCGCGATAGGGGCCGCGAGGGGCCGCGAAGGGCCGCTAGGGAGCCGTGAGAGGGGCGGCAGCAGCTGAGAAGGGGCCGCGGGGCCGCGAGGGGCCGTGAGAGGGGCCGCGAGGGGCCGCGAGGGGCCGCGAAGGGGCCGCGAGGGGCCGTGAGAGGGGTCGCGAGGGGCCGCGAGGGGCCGCGAGGGGCCGCGAGGGGCCGCGAGGGGCCGCAAGGGAGCCACGACGGGGCCGTGAGGGGCCGTAGGAGGGGCCGCGAGGGGCTGCGAGGGAGCCGCGAAGGGGCCGCGAGGGGCCGTGAGAGGGGCCGCGAGGGAGCGGCTAAGGGGCTGCGAGGGGCCGTAAGAGGGCGCGACGGGCCACTAAGGGCAGGGGACGCGACGGGAGGGCAGGCACACGGGGCGCAACTCGGGCAGGGGCGAAGCGCGCTCCGGGCAGGAAAAAAAAAATCGATTTTCGGTGGGCCCTAGGAAACGTTCCCACCAGGGACCTGCTCTGATATTATGTGAAAGAATGAGGAATGATTGACTCAGGCAAAGGTTGGGTACATGTACAAACCCTAGAAATGTGTTGTACCCCATATGTGCTACCCCATTATAGCCTACATATGCTAAGTCATATAAGTATGACATGAAGTGGCTGGAACTGTACAAGCATAGCGCTCGTCGACAAATCTCACGAAGCTTTTGTATTTCTTAGGATTATTAAACCACGTGTGTCGGTTCGTTCACGACATGGCTAGGTTAACTATCGCGTTGATTGAAATGTTGTAGAAGTGGTAGGCGAATGCCTTCTACACCTCGAAAAAGCATGCTTTCCTCGCTGTCCATTTTGTGCGTCGATAATCCCCAATGTACAGTCGTTTATGACAAGCTATAGGAACATTCCTTCTGCATGATCTTGGCGAAATCCTGCAACCATTCGTGCATGCGTTTCAGAAACTTGCACCCTCATAATAAAATCCATCACGTTGATTAGCGTGAAATGCGTAAGAAAACCCATCCGAGTAATGAGTGCGCTCAGATCATTGATCAGTATAGTACCTCTGTACATAAACCTACCCCAACCCACGACATATCTGCAGGTTGGACTATCTAGAGTCCAAAACCCATTACAAGTTCACATAAAAACAAAGCATCCAATATTGTCAAGACACTACAAACCACGAAGATCGTATTACGTAAAACATGGCCTCAATCACATCAAAGTACTCAGCTATTCTTTACTTTGAGAGTTACCACTAAAAAAAAAGATTATACCTTTTCTTCATAACATTTAGTTATCACTAAAGTAGAAAGAACACGTTAGTAGCTGAAGCGGTACTATTAACTGAAGTTGTTTGACTGATGTACAACAGCATGTGGGTGTCCAACTTGCCAGGTCATTAAGACATCACGAAATATACTTGCAAGACAGCTGCAACCCATGCCATCACTAGAGCGTTCGTGGCAATAGCTGACGATGGAATTTGTCACGAGATTGCCAGCCAGTTCTAATGGGAATGAATGAGCATTGGTTATAATCAACACAGATGACAAATGTAGCAAACTTTGCCGCATGAGAAAATCCCATCTCTGCTGAAGCATCTGCTAATACCTTTACTGATTGCCACCACATTCGTGATCATCAATGATTGTGATACGATTTTTTCGTGTACCTAACCATTAAAGCAACTGATTGGTCCCATGTGTGGTGATCGAACAATTCCAGAGAAACAACTTGCACCATCCACCTCCACCCACCAATTGCCATCTTATCTCAACTACACATAGAACCCTATAATACCCATCAAGCTAAAGCTCGATAATCCTCGCCCACATGTATAACAGCTCGCTAATGTTGTGCAAGCTGCCTGAACTTGGGCAGTAGAAGAAAAGCAAAAAGGAAACGTCATCGCTAAACGCAATGGCAATTGCCACCATAGAATGTCTGAAGTCCTTGTCCTCCTCGGCACTTGGAACTTATGTTTGTCGGTGATGTTGATTTTCGCCCAATATATTGCTGGACATTTTATAGAAGTCAAATCTGACTTTTGTCGCAACACATCTCATTCTCTCCGCCACTTGGTGCGCTAGCCTATCATTCCATGCCAGCCTCATTTGCCCATATGTTCCGTCCACAAGGAAAGAACCCTATAGCCAACCCTCAAGCATGAACCGCCCCCAAGTAGAGCCAACTAGGGGATGGGGGGAAGCAGGGAAGGGGATGGGGGGAAGCAGAGAAGGGTGTGGGGGAAAGCAGGGAAGGGGATGGTGGGAAGTAGGGAAGGGTATGGGGGGGAGCAGGGAAGGGGATGGGGGGAAGCAGGGAAGGGGATGGGGGGGAGCAGGTAAGGGGATAGGGGGAAGCAGGGAAGGGGATGGGGGTAAGCAGAGAAGGGGTTGGGGGGAAGGAGGGAAGGGGATGGGGGGAAGGAGGGAATTGGATGGGAGGAAGCAAGGAAGGGGATGGGGGGGAGCAGGGAAGGGGATGGGGGGAAGCAGGGAAGGGGATGGGGGGGAGCAGGGAAGGGGATAGGGGGAAGCAGGGAAGGGGACGGGGGTAAGCAGAGAAGGGGATGGGGGGAAGCAGGGAAAGGTATGTGGGGAAGCAGGGAAACGGATGGGAGGAAGCAGAGAAGGGGATGGGGGGAAGCAAGGAAGAGGATGGTAGGAAGCAGGGAAGGGGATGGGGGGAAGCAGGAAAGGGGATGGGGAGATGCAGGGAAGGGGTTCGGGGGAAGCAGAGAAGGGGATGGGGGGAAGCAGGCAATGGGATTGGGGGAAGCAGGGAAAGGGATGGGGGGAAGTAGGGAAGGGGATGGGGGAAAGCAGGGAAGTGTATGGGGGGAAGCAGGGAAGGGGATGGGGGTAAGCAGAGAAAGGGAAGGGGGGAAGCAGGGAAGGGGATGGCGGGAAGCAGGGAAGGGGATGGGGGGGAGCAGGGAAGGGGATGGGGGAGAGCAGGGAAGGGGATGGGGGGGAGCAGGGAAGGGGATGGGGGGAAGCAGGGAAGGGGATGGGGGGGAGCAGGGAAGGGGATAGGGGGAAGCAGAGAAGGGGATGGGGGGAAGCAGGGAATGGGATGGGGGGAAGCAAGAAACGGGATGGGGGGAAGCAGGGAAAGGGATGGGAGGAAGCAGAGAAGGGGATGGGGGGAAGCAAGGAAGAGGATAGTAGGAAGCAGGGAAGGGGATGGGGGGAAGCAGGGAAGGGGATGGGGGGAAGCAAGGAAGGGGTTCGGGGGAAGCAGGGAAGGGGATGGGGGGAAGCAGGGAATGGGATTGGGGGAAGTAGGGAAAGGGATGGGGGGAAGCAGGGAAGGGGATGGGGGGAAATAGGGAAGGATGGGGGGAAGCAGGGAAGGGGATGGGGGTAAGCAGAGAAAGAGATGGGGGGAAGTAGGGAAGGGGATGGGGGGAAGCAGGGAAAGGGATGGGGGGAAGCAGGGAAAGGGATGGGGGGAAGCAGGGAAGGGGATGGGGGGAAGCAGGGAAAGGGATGGGGGGGAGCAAGGAAGAAGATGGTGGGAAGCAAGGAAGGAGATGGGGGGAAGCAGGGAAGGGGATGGGGGGAAACAGGGAAGGATGGGGGGAAGCAGGGAAGGGGATGGGGGTAAGCAGAGAAAGGGATGGGGGGAAGTAGGGAAGGGGATGGGGGGAAGCAGGGAAAGGGATGGGGGGAAGCAGGGAAGGGGATGGGGGGAAGCAGGGAAGGGGATGGGGGGAAGCAGGGAAAGGGATGGGGGGAAGCAGGGAAAGGGATGGGGGGAAGCAGGGAAAGGGATGGGGGGGAGCAAGGAAGAAGATGGTGGGAAGCAAGGAAGGAGATGGGGGGAAGCAGGGAAGGGGATGGGGGAAAGCATGGAAGGTGATGGGGGGAAGCACGGAAGGGGTTCGGGGGAAGCAGGGAAGGGGATGGGGGAAAGCAGGGACCTAAGAGGAGTCAGCAGCGGAGCTAGAGAGTGTCCGACATTTTGTGTAAAAAAAATAGAAAGAAAAAATCAAAACGATGTAGATGTTACCAGGAAGGAGTATAAACAAGTTTCAAAACTTAACGTCATAGGAGGCGTTACCATAAACTCTCACATGTAAGCGCACCCTATCAGTTGGCGCATGCGATTATGATCAAATCAATGTTCCTATTCCGCTATTTGAATAAATGTGCAAGGAAAATCTGTTGTGCATCCCATAAGCGCATGCAATATTTCTTCGTACACATTTGGTCAAATTTATTGTAATGAGTTATACGATACGAAACAAATCGAGCCATCTTCACTATTGCACAACCCACTCGCTACAAGCCCTAGGCGGTGTTCCGCAGCCATTTTGTAACCAATCCCGAAGTCTAGCAAGAACGGAAGCATCTGATCACCCAATACCTAACAAACATCCGAGAGGGCCCTTATGTTGGTGATAAGAAATCACTCCATGTCAACAAGCATGGGATTCGCACATCTGATTCCCTATAACAGCGAGTTTGAATATTAAGTACTAAAGAACTAATTTATATTTTGATTTTCCCATGTGTTCATAAAACGACTCAATTGTAAACCTTGACAAGGCAGTATAGCGTTTTTCAGATCTAAATCTTCCCCGCGTGGCTTGTGGGCCTGGTGTAGAGAAGAGGTGTAAATGTGATCATAGGACCTTCAACATGGGATTTTTGTCGAGGAATGTTGACAACCTGCACGACAACCGACAGGTTTGCTCAGGTTGCAGTGGTATCTGGTGTCGCCACAACAACGACAAACTCGTGTGCCACTGTGCCCGATGGCGGATCCTCTCTACTTGCTGGTCGAGCTGTCTTGTTGTCCTACAGATTTCTCTCGTGTCCATCGAGTTGCAGTTTTCTTGGGCAGGACGCTGTTGCAGTGTCAACTCAACCAGGCCAGCCCCATTCCGAAGCACCAAGCTCAACTCACCAAACCAAGTGTCTGAACCGATCACCCGAACCTGATGTGCGGGGGGCCGAGCCGAAACCCAACTGCTGCGATGATCGGTCCCTTCATCCAGTCTCACCAAAACGCGTACGTGAACATATGACTTTTCCGTCATTCCTCGGGGAGGTGCTACATTGTCAGGGTTGTTTTCAGTGCGTGTTCGGACGAAGCAGGCGGTTGCAAACTGGACTCGGGTTGAGGGTCCCCAAAGTGTAGCTGGATTGGCCTACAGAAAACGGAAAATAGTCAGTGAAAAGTTCGGAAATCCGATTTCGTGGCAGGAGTGAGCGGCCGAGTGCCCAGACTGGGTTCGTCTTTTTCCTGGCGTGCCCCGCGTGAGGATACCGTAACCCTCGGCCCATTCCGGGGTCCTGGTTACGGAGGCCCGCGTGGGATTACGGACCGTTTTTCCTCAGAGAAAAGTTTGGAGATCCGATTTTCAGATACCGGTAACACTCTCGCTACATCTTCATTCTGAACATCCCCTGTTTGACACATCTTCTCCCGCTTCAATGCTTCATTCTGCAGAGCACTTTCACCTTTCCTCCTGTGCCACACGCGAGACCGCGGCATGGAAAAGGAGAGATATTCACCGCCGTGGCCTGCGAGCCATAATAGTATACTGATAGCAGCTAAGAAGCATATGTTCGTCGGCATCGACTCGAGTATCTCACACTGAGTGTGACACGCATCTCGTGGTGCGTTCATTTTAGGAACCTGAGGTTCCTTTCAACTTTCTTGTCACTGACTACAATGCGTCTTGTGTGGCGAGGACATGATGGGAAGCTTTCGTGGGCGTGGAGAAATTCATATTCTGCGTCTCAGGCTAAAACACGAAATTTCTTTCCGGATCTCGAATTACAGACGCCAAAAAAAAACCATTTTCTAGTCCAGAGAGCAGCGGCGGCGCCATCGGATCTCGTGATACTATGAGCAGCAAGAGTTGTTCTCTTCACGGTGCTGGTTGGAAATTGCAACGATAGTCTGCATCTTCTCGCCTCCGCCAAGCCTTCTCGAACGTTCAAACTGTTGTGTGATGCAACCATATGCATTCACGTCTGTCTGCCTACCATCATGTGTTTGTGCGTTGCATGCGTGGTGTGAGCGTGTGCAAGAAATTTGTGTCTTGTGTGGTTTGGATTTTCTGTGTGTGTGTGTGTATGTTATTTGGCTTGAGCAGATATCTGAAGTGATTCTTCTACTCAAGAGCTTTCTGTCAGAACATTCTAGCTTATGCTATTGTGTAGGCTATAGTGGGGTATCCCATAGGGGGTACAACCCAACTAGGGTTTCATATTTGTACTCGCTTCATTCATAGTTCACATCATTCTCGTTCAACTCTTCTCATGGTATCGAGCAGGTTCCCCTGTGGGAACTGCGCCTAGGGCCCACCACTTCGATTTTTTTTACTGCCCGAAGCGCGCTCATCCCGAGTCGCGCCTCGGGCTGCTAACTCGACGAGCCGCCCTAGCGGCCTTCCCTCCCCTAGCGGCCCTGCAGCCCTACTGTCGCGGCCCCGCCGCCCCTGATTCGCGGCCCCGCCGCCCCTGATTCGCGGCCTCGCCGCCATGCTTCAGCGGCCCCGCCGCCCTGCTTTAGCGGCCCCGCCGCCCTACACCTCGCGGCCCCGCCGCCCTACACTTCGCGGCCCCGCCGCCCTGCCTTAGCGGCCCCGCCGCCCTACACCTCGAGGCCCCGCCGCCCTGCTTTAGCGGCCCCGCCACCCTACGCCTCGCGGCCCCGCCGCCCTACAACTCGCGGCCCCGCCGCCCTGCATTTCGCGGCCCCGCCGCCCTACACCTCGCGGCCCCGCCGCCCTGCTTTACCGGCCCCGCCACCCTGCTTTAGCGGCCCCGCCGCCCTACACTTCGCGGCCCCGCCGCCCTGCTTTAGCGGCCCCGCCGCCCTACACCTCGCGGCCCCGCCGCCCTGCTTTAGCGGCCCCGCCGCCCTAAACCTCGCGGCCCCGCCGCCCTACACCTCGCGACCGCGCCCTGCATTTCGCGGCCGCCCTACACTTCGCGGCCCCGCCGCCCTGCATTTCGCAGCCCCGCCGCCCTACACTTCGCGGCCCCGCCGCCCTGCTTTAGCGGCCCCGCCCTGCTTTAGCGGTCCCGCCGCCCTTGCCGCCCAGCCGCCGAGCCTCCCAGCCGCCGAGCCGCCCAGCAGCCGAGCCGCCGAGCCGCCGAGCCGCCCAGCCGCCGAGCCGCCCAGCAGCCGAGCCGCCCGACCTGCCATGTCCGGTGAGCGCAGCCCCACTGTCACTGCGTGCCCTTCCCCTACTCCTTGCACTGCTAGGCTACTGTCGTCATGGCTACCCCTAGTGTCCTCGCTTTTGATGCTGAGGGTCGGGCCATTGACTTTGAGGTCTGGGTAGACGACCTGCAGCTGTTCTTATAGTGCGATAGGGCAGACAACCTCTCTCTCTTTGACCTTACCTCTGGCGCTTCCCCTGCCCCTGCTGCTAATGCTGACCCCACTGTTCGCTCCCAGTGAGCCACGCGCGACGCTGCTGCACGTCTTGTTGTGCGTCGCCACCTCCCTACCTCCGAGCGTGCGCACTTTAGTCAGTACAAGAGTGCTCAGACCTTGTACGACGCTGTAGTCGCGCGCTACTCTTCCCCTTCCACTGCTGCACTGAGCCGTCTCATATTGCCGTACCTCTTCCCTGACCTTGCTGCCTTTCCCACCGTTGCTGACCTCATTACGCACCTCCGCACTAGTGACACTCGCTACCGCGCTGCACATCCTGCTGACTTCTGCACCACGAACCCCCTCCCCATGTACATCACTCTGTACTTCCTACTCACTCGCCTGCCTGACTCCCTTCGAGTAGTCAGGGACCACTTTCTCTCAGTCTGTCCCACCACACTCACTGTAGACCTCCTCGAGAAGTCCCTCCTCGCGATAGAGAAGAGCATGGTCGCTGTAGGAGCCTCTCGAGGTGACCCGCGCACCCCCATCTTTGAGGGGTGTTCTCCCTCCCCCCTGCTGCCCTCTGTTGCCTCTGCTGCTGCGGCCGACCTCGTTGGTCTTGAGTCGATCGGTGCGGCGTCTGCCCCTAGCGGGAGACGCCGCTCTGGCAAGGGCAAGGGGGGCAAGGGAGCTGGAGGAGCGGGCAGTGGAGGTGGAGGTGGAGGCAGTGGGGGGAGTGGGGGTGGCGGTGGAGGTGGAGGTGGGGGTGGGGGGGTCGGTGGCGGCAGTGGAGGCGGAGGCGGCGGCGGCGGTGGCGGTGGTAGCGGAGGTGGCGGAGGAGGCGTCGGTGGAGGCGGCGGTGGAGGCGGCGGCGGTAGTGGAGGCAGCGGAGGCGGTGGAGGCGGTGGGGGTGGCGGTGGAGCTGGTCGCGGGTCTTCGCAGAGGAGTGGCTCAGGTGGTGGCTCGCGCCAGCAGCAGCAGCGTGGTCGTGCGACCCTGTCCCCTCAGCAACTCCATGAGTGGTACACTGCACGCCAGCGGGGTGGGGGTTTTGGTCCGTGCACCTACGTCCTGCGCACCGGCGACCGTGCGGGTATGCAGTGTGGGGGTGCGCACCCCACTCCGCGCTGCTTTGGCCGCCTGACAGACGCGTGGCGTCACCAGTTCCCGGAGGCCTCCGAGATCCCTCGCTGGGACGAGCTGTCTAGGGCGGGGGTTGCCATCTTTGATCTTGACTTTGATGCTATTCTCTCTGCCATGTATACTCTGTCTCATAGTGATGAGGGTGACTGCTACCGCTGTTTCCCGCCCGATCCGGGCATTGAGGCTGCTGCCCTAGGTGCTTGCGACGCTCCTGCTCTAGGTGCTAGTGTGTCTGCGTCCTCAGGTACTGGTGAGTCTGCACTCTCAGGTACTACATCGGCTTCGGCCTCCCTCACCTTCACTCTTGACTCTGGGGCGTCTCGCTCCTTCTTTTGGGACCGCACCACACTCACGCCGCTTAGTCGGCCGATTGCAGTGTCTCTGGCTGACCCCTCCGGGAGTCCTGTACTGTCTCGCTTCTCCACGGTCCTCCCGTGTTCGGCGGCTCCCTCTGGCACCCTGTCTGGTCTCTACCTCCCCTCGTTCTCGACGAACCTGGTGAGTGGTGCTGACATACAGGATGGGGGAGTACACCAGTTCACTCCTGCGCGTCAGCGGGTGACGCACTGTACCGAGGC